CCCGCCTCTGCCCACCTCCCACCTCCCGCCTCTGCCCACCTCCCACCTCCCACCTCGAACCCAGTGACTGCATCTATCAATGACTGATACCACCTCACCCACGGGTGTTGGCCACTGCTTTCTTCCTGACACGGTGAACTAAGGTCCAAAGTGACAGGAATGAGGAAAGAGGTGGGAAGAAGGGCGATCTACCCGGTTTTGGAATTGTAATCGGCCACAGAACTGCGCTGCTGACCAAATAACATACTGATAGAATCTGGGCAGTTGATGGACCACTGTGGTTGTTGTTGGTGTGTTGCATTGCTCTCACGTAGAATTTTCACTTGATCATTAGTCTTTATGGGGGAAGGGGTGGCCAGGGGACTGCAAAAGTTCGGTGCTGTTTGCATTGCTTCCGAGTCACTGGTTTTGGCTGGGTGGAAGCATGTTTGTTTTGTTTTCTTTTGTGTTTGTCTTGAGAGGTAGTTTCGCCATGGTGCTTTCTGCCCAGTGAGCTTCTTCCTTCTGCCTTGTTCGAATAAGGTGGTTTGGCCGTGCTGTTCTCTGCCCATTGCACTTTTTCCTTCTGCCTTGTTCCTGGCATGGCCGAGCTGTTCTCTGCCCATTGCACTTTTTCCTTCTGCCTTGTTCCTGGCATGGACTATTTCTAGCCAAGTACCACTGGTCTGACTTGCCACTCAGTCTTCACTTCCCCAACTTCACTAACACAGTTCCCCCTTGCTTTACATTCACTCTCTTCTCTACACATGATTGTAGCCCCAGTGGGATGAGAGACTGTATATACCATGCCAAAATTCTGACTAGGAGCTGAAGTAGCACTGGCGTGGTGCTGAGGTAGTGCTGACATTGTGTCTCTACTGTGTGGGCTAGCCGCACTGCCAGCATCCTCTGCGTCCACATTGCTACGTCCCACCCACTCAGACATCTGTTATGTGCCTGATTGAAACGAAATCCAACATGCATCCACACGTTCCCATACACGTGCGCAATGACAAGTGGACTTGAAGAGAGCAATCCACACCAAACCAGATGAGGAAAATACACAGCAGAAGCACACAAATACACAAAATACAATGGAATTCAAAATCAATTCTTTTTTATTTATTTTATGTTAAACAAGTTATAGCATTTCAAATATAGATCGAGGCCGGGGACCTCACAATTCAACCCGGGGTTATCCTGGGAGCCGTGACAGACTCTTGTCTGTCCCGGTCTTTCCACTCATTGTCCATCCTTAGGTATCCTACTGGAAACCTTCCTTAAACCCTAAACCCTGGGGTTCGGCTCACACCCGCTCCTCTCTGCTGTTAAGCTGTCAGCTTGGCTTGTTTAGCTTGGTAAACCCATGGAGGACCATGAGTGTCTTCCATTGTCCCTCCCAACTTCTTGAGCTCCGTGATTCCATGGATGTTTCAAGCACTGGCAAGGGTCTGTCTTGGTTCTGAGAGTGTCTGAGACGCGATTGACATATGGTTCCCAGGCGAGTCTGAGAGTGTTGCCCATTATGGTCACCAACTTGCCATTGCCCAGCACATCCTTTGTGAACTTGTCAACGATGTCTTGTTGTTTGGCTGGGTCTTCCCTGAATGCACTTCCTTGTACGGTGCGAGTCGGAGTGGTACTCGATGAGGAGGGTTTGTATGACACCCTCCCATGCTTCAGCCACACAATTCAAAATCAATTATAATTATCGTCTCTCCCCAATTCAATCAGGAACACGAATTTTCCCAAGAATCCCAACCACGTTATCAACACTCACAGACCAATTACTTACAAAGTCTGATTGAAATATCCAGGAGTCTTCTTCATTCCCACTATCCCCGAGCTCGAGCTATGGCGCCACTTCCACTTTTAGCGCCCAACCAGACAAGCCTGCTAATGCCACACACTCTGCTGAATCCAGCACGTCACTCTGCACCACTCGCGAAGCCCAGCTGCAGATGATGTGTCCACTCAGCAGGGGAGCACAGCTCCCAGGATGAAGAAGAAGAAGAAGAAGAACTCGATGAAGATGAACGCCTCCCACATCGAAGAAGACTTCAACGAGCTGCTTCGTGGCAGCTGCCCAAAACCCCAACAGCGCACAAAGAGGTGGAAGCGCTCTTCAGTACTTGGGCGGCCAGCCCAGTGCTGCCATCAACAGAGCTGTTCGGGCCCAACGATGTCTGCCAGCAGCATGTGAAGATGATGCTGCCACACTTCTGAAAAATAGCGCTCCAGCCCCACGCGACCTCACACCCAGCTCGTGAAAAGAAGAATGAGCAAAAGGAACCCCGAGTGCCTCACCAAGCTCCTATTTCTAGACACGACCTTTACTTTGACCTAAGACAAACAGAATACTAAGACCTATGGGCCTACACAAAAACAGCAGCAAAGACGAAAAGAAACGGCCTAGTGGTCTTAAGGCTGCCCAGAAGAGAGACCCGAGCAAGTGACAAGTACATGGGTCGAGCCCCACAGACCTCAAGACATAAAAAAACTACAAAACTAAGTACTTAGAAGGAAGTCCCAGTGAGGAACAGGTCAGGGAATCAAGCCCAATAGCACCTAAAACATTACAAAACTAATCTATTAAAGATTCTATTTAGTTATACAGCAGGCTGGGAATCTGCAATTTATTGCATTCTTACCCTCATGGGGAGCGAAGACCCAGGAGCTACATAACCAACTACCAGTGATATTGGCGGAGAGGCATTAGCTACAGGATCGCTAAACTTCCAAGGTGGTGGAGAACGCGAAGACCTCAAAATCTCAGAGGGTTTATGGTGTATCAGATGAGATTGATTAGTTGAATGCGAGTGTATTAGCCAGGTAATCAACTTCTAGGCAACCAATCAGCTTCTGAAAATCTACAGGTTGTAGCTCAGATTATCAGTGAGTGTTGGCTAGCTGAATGCAAGGGTATTAGCCTGGTAATCAACTTATAGTTAGCTAACAACATACTGAAAATCAGATGATCAATGTTTAGATTAACAACATGGGTTAAGTAGTTGAATGCAAGGGTGTTAGCCTAGTCGTCAACTTTGTTGTAACGTATTGATTCTGGAAATCTGATTAATTTCTGTTTGGACTAATTGTAATGAACCCAGCCTGTAGAATACTCGTCAGATGTCAAAATACAAGATAACTCAACGCTGAACAATGTCTCCAATAATCATGAATGCGATCTCTGACATTTCTCGTATCCAATGGACAAAGAGAGGAGAGGGGGATTAGACAGATTAGAAGGTGGAAGAGATAATATCCATCAATGACCACGAAGATAGTAGCCCAACATTCCCCTCTCTCTCTCCAGGCTTCCCCTCACCTCCACGTCAGCAAACAGTGTCCAATAACGAGCCTGACCGGTCCTGATCTCATCAAAGTGCCACGTGGCACAGTTCTCCCGTGAAGACGTTCAACAGCGTACAGTATCGACATCACCAGCAGGTAATTATCCTCTCTCTCTCTCCACAGATCCCGATCTCCCTGCTTGTCGCGTCCAACTCAACAATGAAGACAGTGTGGCAAATGCCACATCAGCAATGAAGACAAAATGGCATGCACCACATCAGCAATGTCAAAGACAGCGTGGCTTGCGCCATGTCAGCAGAGGCTGGCGCCAAGACAGGAAGGCGCCAGCAAGCAAGCAGCAGTCTCACGTCGTCATCTACAGTGCCAGCGAGCAGCCAGTATCTAACCAACATCTAGCCAACATCTAGCCAACATCTAGCCAGCGCCCAGCCAGTGTCAAGCCAGCGTCAAGTCAGCATAGCAAGACTGAATGTTGACTCCCTGGAGGCTGGGCCTTATGTAGTGTTTGACGAGGTTGACCGGCCTCAGGTCTCCCACCGACGGTGGCTCAGATTGGCTCACAGATGAGGGTCTGGATTGCATACAGTTGCAGACTTCGACTTGGTCCGAATGCTGTCTTGGTACCTGCATACAAACAAGTGTGTGTGTCTGACCGGAGGCCTGGGCTGGGTCCACAGAGACTTTGACTGAAAGGTCG